AACATACAAAGTCTCTTCTCTGATCACAACAAAATGAAGTTAGAAGTCAATGATAGAAGAAAAACTGGAAAATTCAGGAGTTAGTGGAAATTAAACATTTAAAACAACCAATGGATCAAAGAATAAAACATGAGAGAAATTAAAAAATACTTAGAGATGAAACAAAATGAGAATACAACATACCAAAACTTATGAAACACAGTGAAAGCACTGCTAAGGAAGAAGTTTATAGCTACAAACAGTTATGTTAAAAAACAAGAAAGATCTGCGGGCTGGCCCTGTGTCCTAGTGGTTACGTTTGTGCACTCCACTTCGGTGGCCTAGGGTTCACCGGTTCGGATCCCGGATGCAGACCTAGCACAATGAGTCAAGCCATGCTGAGGTGGTGTCCCACATAACAGAGCCAGATTGACCTACAACTAGACTATACAACTGTGTACTGGGGAGCTTTGGGGAGAAGAAGAAGAAGAAAAAGAAGATTGGCAACAGGTATTAGCTCAGGTGCCAATCTTAAAAAAACACAAAAACAAAAACAAGAAAGATCTCAAAGCAACAACTTTACTTTACAACTTAAAGAACTAGAAAAAGAAGAATTAAACCCAAAGCTAGCAGAAGGAAGGAACGAACAAAGAGCAGAGATAAATGAAATAAAGGATAGAAAAACAGCACAGAAAATCAATAAAACCAAAAGTTGATTCTTTGAAAAGATCAACAAAATTGATAAACTTTTAAGTAGATGGCCTAAGAAAAGAAACACCCAAATTACTAAAATCAGTGAATGAAAGTGGGGATATTACAACCACTTCTACAGATAGAAAAAGGATTATAAGGGTGTACAATGAGAAATTCTATACCAACAAACTGAATAACCTATATGAAATGGACAAACTCCTAGAAACACAAAACTTACCAATACTAAACTACAAAGAAATAGAAAATCTGAATAAACCTATTACTAGTAAGGAGATAGAATCAGTAACCTAAAATTCTACCAGAAAAAAAAAAACAACCACCCTGGATCCAATGGCTTTACCAGTGAAGTCTACCAAACATTTAATGAATAAATAACACCAATCCTTCTCAAACTTTTCCAGAAAGCTGAAGAGGAGGAAACACTCTCAAACTCATTCTATAAGGTCAGAATTTCTCTGATACCAAAGCCAGACCATGAGACTACAAGAAAAGAAAACTACATACCAATATGCCTTATGAACATCAATGCAAATGTCCCCAACAAAGTACTAGCAAACTGAATTTAGCAGCATATTAAAAGGAATATACGCCATGACCAAGTGAGATTTATTCCTGGAATGCAAGGATGGTTCAACATATGAAAATTAATATAATATACCATATTAACAGAATGAAAGAAGAAAAACACATGATCATCTCAGGTGATGCAGAAAAACTTTTTACAAAATTCAATAGCACTCTTTCACAATAAAACACTCAATGAACTAGGACTAGAAGGAAACTGCCTCAACATAATAAAAGCTGTATGTGAAAAACCCATAGCAAACTTCATGCCCAATGGTAAAAGACTGAAAATTTTTCCTCTAGGATCAGGAACAAGGCCAGGATGACCAATTTCACCACTTCTATTCAAGACAGTACTGGAAGACTTAGCCAGAGTAACTGGACAAGGGGGGAAAAGGCATCCACATTAGAAAGGAAGAAGCAAAATTATCTCTGTTCACAGATGATATGACCTTATATGTAGAAAACTTTCTAGATTCTGCAAAAAAACTGTTAGGACTAATAAGTTATTAGTAACAATAAATGAGCTCAGCAAAGTATCAGGATACAAAGTCAACACTAAAAAATCAGTTGCATTTCTATACACTAGCAATGAACAATCAGAAAAGGAAATTGAAAATATAATTCCATTCAAAATAGCATCAAAAAGAGTAAAATACTTAGGAATTGGCGGCAGCCTGGGCTCATGGGTTCAGATCCCAGGTGTGAATACACACCACTTGTCAGCCATGCTATGGTGGTGACCCAGATATAAAGTAGAGGAAGACTGGCACAGTTGTTAGCTCAGGGCTAATCTTCCTCAAGCAAAAAAAGATGTTGGCTAAGGGCCAACATCTCAGCAGAAATAAAAAGAGTAAAATACTGAGGAATTAACCTAACCAAGGAGGTGAGAGACTTGTATAATAAAAGCTATAAAATATTTCTGAAAAACATTAAAGAAGATATAAATAAATGGAAGCACATGCCATGTTTCATATTGGAAGACTTACTATTGTTACGAAATCAATACTACCCAAAGCAATCCAATGCAGTCCCTATCAAAATCCCAATGATGTTTTTGCAGAAATAAAAAAACCCACTCTAAAATTCATATGAAGTCTCAAGGGACTCTATATAGCCAAAACACCCTGAAAAAGAACAAAGCTAGAGGACCCACATTTCTTGATTTCAAAACTTATTAAAAATTTATTTAATAAGATGAAAAATCTTATTAAAAATCTAATCAAAACAGTACGGTACTGGCAGAAAGTCAGACATACAGATCAATGGAATAGAATAGAGTGTCTAGAAATAAACCCTTGAATAAATGGTCAAATGAGTTTTGACAAGAGTGCCAAGGCTATTTTTCAAATGGGAAACAGACAGTTTTTCAACAAATGGTGATGAGAAAACTGGATATCCATATGCAAAAGAATGAAGTTGGACCCTTACCTAATACGATATACAAAAGTTAACTCAAAATACATCCATAACTTAAACGTAAGGCGTAAAACTATAAAAGCTCAGAAGAAAACACAAAGCAAAAGCTTCATGACATTGGATTTGGCAATGATTTCTTGGATATGACACAAAAGACATAGGCAACAAATGGAAAAATAGACAAATAGCACTTCATGAAAATTAAACAATTTTGTGCAACAAAGATATTACCAACAGAGTGAAAAGGGAGAATGGGAGAAAATATTTGCAAGTCATATAATCTGACAAGGGCTTAATATCCAGAATACACAGAGAACTCCTAAAACTCAACAACAGCAACAAAAAACAACCTAATTCAAAAATAAGCAAAGGTCTTGAACAGAAATTTTTTGAAGAAGATATACAAATGGCCAAGAAGCACATGAAAATGTGCTCAGTGTTAGGGAAATGCAAATCAAAATTACAGTGAGATATCACTTCACACCCATTAGGGCGGCTAATATCAAAAAAAGTGTTGGCAAGAATGTGGAGAAATTGGAACGCTTGTGCACTGTTGGTAGGAATGTAAAATGATACAGCCACTGGGGAAAACAGCGTGATGGTTCCTCAAAAAATTAAAAATAGAATTTCCATGTGATCTGGCAATTCCACTTCGGGGTATGTTCTCAAATGAATTGAAAGCAAGGTCTCAAAGTAATATTTATACACTCATGTTCATAGCAGCATTATTCACAGTAGCTAAAACATGGAAGCAACTCAAGTGTCCATTGACAGTCAAATGCATGAGCAAAATGTGGTACATACATACAATAGAATATTATTCAGCCTTAAAAAGCAAAGAAATTGTGACATACGCGACAACATGGATGGTCCTTGAGGAGATTATGCTAAGTGAAATAAAGCAAACATAAAAAGAAAAATAATCTATGATTTTGCTTAGAGTAGTCAAAATCACAAAGACGAAAAGTAGAACTGTGGTTGCCAGGGGCTAGAGGGAGAAGAGAATGGAGAGTCACTGTTTAATAGGTACAGAACTTCAGTTCTACAAGGTGAAAAGTGCTCTGGAGGTACATGGTGGTGATGGTTGCACACTGGTAAGGATGTACTTAGTGACACTAGACTATACACTTAAAAATAGTTAAGATACAAATTTTATGTTATGTGTATTTTACCGCAGTAAAAATATTGAGAAAAAAAGAGTGCACACAAAGTGGCTGGCAGAACTTGGGACAAAGGGGACAATCAATAAATGATTATCCTTCCCTCCCTCCCTCCTGCTTCTTCAGGAGGAGGAAGAGATCTCTTCCTATCATTGCCATACAGCACAGACATTGGTGCAGCCCTCAGGCTTCAGTGCTAGGCGCCTGCTGCCCTCTGAAGCCAAGAGAAGACTCACTCTGCGGGAGGATAGAGGTTTTCGAGAGTAAAGATTTAAGGCAAGTTAAAGTCAACTATCAATTGTCTTTTACTTAATATACATTAGATCTACAAGGAAATTTATTTGAAGTATCTGGATGCGATGTGGGAAACGAAAGAGGAGAGTTTCAAGAGGGGCTTGTGTCAAGGGGAATGTTGACCCATGTAGTTCAGAGGGACACGTGGTGGGAACATTTGTAGGTATTGTTATGAGAGGTTTTGGTAGTTAGAGGGGTGACATGGGTCCCAGATCCCTGAAGGCTAGAAAGGGAGATGTGGAAGGACCAAAATCAAACTGCAGATATTTCTCTTCTTGCTTGTCTCCAACCACAGGCAGGACATCACTGCCCAAAATGCCCTGTGGTGGCTTGTTCATAAATACAGGACACAGGCAACATGCTTTTTCTTTGATATCCAAAGATTCTCAAGGTCTAAAGCATAAACTGGGGTTCAGTTAATAATAGCATCCCCAAAGTGTATGCATTGATATTTGCCTCCAATTTTTTTTAAGATTGGCACCTGAGCTAACATCTATTGCCAATCTTTTTCGTTTCTTCTTCTCCCCAAAGCCCCCACATAGTTGTATATTCTAGTTGTAGGTCCTTCTGGCTCTGCTGTATGGGACACCACCTCAGCACGGCCTGACTAGCAGTGCTAGGTCTGTGCCCAGGATCCAAACCAGTGAAACCCTAGGCCACTGAAGCAGAGTGTGCAAACTAAACCACTCGGCCACGGGGCAGCCCCGTTTGCTTCCAGTTAAGTTAAAATGTATTTAGCTGTTGATCTTTCTACTGCCACAACCCCTCTTTGCTTCCTTCCTAAAGTCCATCCACAATGCCCACGTTTCTCTGGCTTTCTGTAAAATGTGCCAGGTTTGTTGATGTTGTTTGTTCTTAGGAGACTGGTACCTTCAAAAGTTAGGTTCCTGAAAGCATGAGCAAATTTAGGGGTGGTAACATCTTCTCCACTTTCAAGAAATATCTTCAGCATGTGTCCAAAAAGCAAGACTCCATCCAGGTAGGCGAGAGAAAAGTCATTTTTTGCCTGAATGAGAAAGGAAAATCTTAAAATGAGTTCCAAAAAAGAGATTCTGATCTTGAACCTAAAGCAAAACATTTTTGGGGTCAGCAGGGTAACTGGAAAGATAAGGGAATATTAGAGGAATTGTAGAGTGTTAAAGGAGACTTTTGGAAAATATTTCTTGGGCCAGGGCCCTTTATTATCCCCCTGTACACTTCTGCTTTCTCTCCAGATCAATAAACTGAGAACACTGCCTTTAGGGAAGTAAGTAAAAGCGGTTGGACTTCCTTCCTATGAGGATAAACCATATAATTTCAACCAGGAAGGACAACATACAGCATTTTCATAATTCTTTTAAGATTTTATATAGAAATAACGCTTGCTTATAGTTTAATGCTTTCACTAAAGAGTAAAAGGGAACAAGGATAGAAACAGCCCGTGCCTTTCAGCAGCCTGAATGGGGCAGGACGAGTTTTGATCGGATGATACTGTTGAACCTGCTTCGAAGACAGTTCTGATTGGGTGTTACTTCAGGCCACAGATGTCTGCCCTGGGGAACGTAGAGGTTATATATGAAGCTTACCAGTGAGAAATCCTTAAAGAAAGAGCCATTTGAGGTGGAATTTTCAGGAGGCAGTGTCAGAACAAGGACGTTTTTCATGTAGTCAGGGGCTGTGACATTGTCCGTGAAGTAGTGGTTACTGTAATAAAAAGCACAAGTTCCTCATGAAAAGTACGTTCCTCCAAAAACAGAGATGGAGCTTCTACAATTCACACAAACCATAAGATCAGCCTCGAAATAGTTTAAAACACTTTTTCTCCAGTAACCTGTAAACTTTCCACTTTCCCTGGACAGGCTTATTTTCTTCCACACCTGCTAAGATGAGTAAGAGAACTAAGCTGGCTTTGGTTAACATACACAAATGCAAAGGAAGATCAGAATACAGATGCTTCTTTGAACGAGAATTTTTGGGGCTCTGGATATGTGAGCTAATGTTTGCTTTCAAAGCTTAATGACCCTTGGTTTCTACCTGAAAACTTTCTTTTCTTCAAATGTTCATAAGAATTTAGAGATATCGGGGTATGACAGAGAGAAATTTTATGAGTTAAATTTACTTTCCAGATGATGAAACACAAGCATGAAAAGGCCAAACATTTTCTCTAACACTGTAAGCTTCTTGACATTAGCTTATTGTTCCTTGGCTCCTCAACTCCTAGACAATATTTGGCACATTGTGGACTCTCAATACTGTCTTGGATTGTGCTGCAAACATATGCTTTCTAAGCTTCCTAATCACCTGAATGTTTTAATATACAGAGAATCTAACATGTCTGAACTACTACAACGAGGCTGACCATCATTTAATACTCAAACAGTAAGTGAAACCTTCTATGTACTGAGAACTGTGTTGAATGTTTTGCTCATATTATCACATCCAATCCTAAAAACACCCCTCTAAAGTGGACATTTTTATTCTCATTTTACAAATGAGAAGATTTCATCTCAAGATACTAAGTAATACCCAAGAGTCAAATGAACCAAAAGTGTCAGAAGTGGAATTTGAAACCAAGTTATATCTAGTTCCAAATGAATCTCATGATCTTCCCAAAACATAGCCAGGTGTCCTTTGGGAATAGCGACAAAGAAATGTCAACACTTTGGCAATTGATGGAGGATTTGCTAAAAGTAAAATTATACCAAGCCGGCTACATTGAGGACTCCTTCCAGAGGGCAAAGCAGCTATTGAAAGCAGTTATCAATGTGATTGCAGGAATGAAGTGTTGCTAATTTTGCCTTCTTTCCTGTATTCCGAAACTAAAATGCTAAGTGGATTCATTAAATTATCTTCATGACCAATTAGTGATCAAATAGGACTGTGGTTCCTATGCTTTATTTGCTTTAACACTGTGAAAAGTAAATGACTAGGCAAATATGGGAAAGATGAAGTGCAGCAATAGCTTCAGGTCTGAGTACAGACAGGTAATGATTAATGATCCAGGCAGATAAGTGAAGTCATGTGATCTAGCTTGATGGGGGCAAGGGGCGCAGGTGAAACAGTGACATCTTATTTAAGCTTAGTCTGGCTCAAATATTACCTAGGCCTCGTTTGTTAAAAGGGGCTCCAGCCATATTAGAAGATGAGTGGTAAAAATAGAGGGTGTGATAAAAAGTAGTTTCTGCTCTCCAGAATTTTCTCTCCTTAGTCTCAGAGAAATACAGAGGAAAATACCACCACCCAGTGGCTATGCCACAGAGAGCAAAGAATAATTGTGTAAATCAAATTCAATTATCTGGAAGTTTCCTCTTACCAAAGACAGCTGAGGGAAAAATAATCTAGGACCAAAGGCCATTAGCAACTGAAGGCAAAGATATGGCCCACATTCTCAGAAATAATATTATTGTGTTATTAGCTGATTTATCACTGCTGGAAAAAGACCTTAAAATCAGGGTGGAGACCAGGACCCTGTGTTGATTGACCATGCCTCGTGGATACAAGGACATGTGGATTTAATGGGGTTTTCATAAAACTTTTGTATTTAGACATGATAGTGATGTCAAAGGTATACATCTCTGCTAAGGCTACAATTGCTTAAATAAGAATGCCAGTGTGATGAAGAAGGAATAAAACATTGGTTAAAATGGTATCGTTATACTGAACCCATTAAGAGGCTGTGCAGAGCAAGAGAAAAGAGAATGTGTCTTCTGGAAATCCTTGGAGTATTTCCTTTCTGAAAGGAGGAGAGGTCTTCTAAATATTGTACCTACTTGAATAGATCCACTAGAATAATGACAATGTCTTCAGCCACTGCCCGGTCACCCTTGAGGGAGTGGATGACATCTGGTCTACCACACATGAGAATCACTGGAGGAGAGAGAACAAGACAAGGAGAGAAATACACAATGGTCTACACACAAACAGGGAGGGAACCAGGGACCTGAACTGAACCCAATATGTCCATGCTACGTTTATTTTTTAAGATTGACATCAATTCCTCAAATTACCCCCCTCTTTTTTTTCATTTACGGTCATAGAGTCAGAATAGAACTGCATGGGATCTTAAAAAGAATCATCTAGTCCATTCCCTTAATTGTATAGACTTAAGGAGGTTGAACCCACGATGTCAAAGGGTTAAAGAACTAGTAGATGACAGACATAGCTCTAATATTCAGGTTTATAAGTCCTAGTTCAGTGCTTATTCCACTACACCAGGCTGGAATAGATACAAAAACTATTTTCATTGATACGTGAATTGCACCTCACCATTTGTAAAGTAGTTGAAAAGATATAGTATAAGTTAATGCGAGAATTTAAGCAACTTTCCTTGGGTTTTGTTTCTAGCTTCTTAACTCAGAACTCAGTCTCATTGATTTCAGTGGTAGCGTCCAAGCTGAGTCTACAAGGTCTACTCCTCATTGCAACCAGATTTCCCAAATGCATGCCTATATGTGTACGAGGAGTTGGGGGACACTTCTTTAGATCCTTTTTAAAACTATGTTGTCCAGTTGAATTGTAAACTCTCCAGTGACATGAATAATTTTATACTTTTTTCCCATATCTTGGTCAATGCTTTACAAATAGTAGCTTGTTAATATGGCAAATGCTTAATAATGACAGTAGGTGGTGATTTGAGCGCTACCAGGATATCCTGCCAAGAAACATCTTCTCTTGTAGGAAATTCCCCCAGTTGATTTCTTTGCTACTGATATGATCTTATTTGTAAAGAGAATTCTGTGGAAAGTGAAACAAATCATCTAATAACTTAGTGACGATGATTTTATCCCATCAGATTTCACACTTGGCCTGTAACTGGGAGATCACTGGGCAGGTGATTCACAGAGAGATCAAATGAAAGCAAGACAATCTTTGCTTACCTTGCTATTTTGCTTAAGGCCAGATATCAATAAATATATCCGCTTGGTCACCAGGGGATCAGAGTTCAGAATGTGTGAGGATTAGTCACAAATCCAATAATATATTGGATTGAGGTAAACTGGATTTTAACATTACCATTTCTTTTATGATGTTAATATAATTTCTCAACACTACTTTTCTAATTTTTATCAGAGGATAAGGTTTTAATCAACAAAAGGAACAATATAATGGAGTTGCATGCAACTACTGATCTCCCAAAATAGACTAAACATATAGAGGTAACAGTGATAGCTCTGTCAAAATAAATAAGGAGGTAGTAGTTGTGAAGAAGAAGCTGGTAAAAAATTATCTTCGTGTCTTCTTACCATTGCTTTTCCTTTTGTGGTTCGATAAGATACCCTGAAACTGGTCATCTCCTCTCAACACATCCTTGAAGATAAGTTCCTGAGAAAAATAGGAAACTCCAGCCTCCAGAGCATTGAGGTACCTAGAACAGAAAAAAGAGAAACTCTAAGAAAGCAGTTTAGTTTGTGCGTGGCCTTCCATGCCATTTGCTTTGCTTCCATGCCATTGTTTTCAGATCTGGCCTGGGTTTGTTCATCTAAAATTCTTTTCTGCTATTAACACAACAGACGATACACACCATGATACCAATGGTTAGGATTGTGGACGTCTAATTTAGTGAAAGCACAGGGGAAGTTTTAGGGAATCTTCATGTATATATATAAACAGTAGACATTTGGTGAGTCCCTCATAGTGGCTTCCTACTGCTTGCACATGGAAGGTTCCACTCTGCTCTATAAACCAGCCCCATTATCACAGGTAAGTTAACACCTTTGAACGTATAGTGCAAAAATTCAGAGTTGGTAGGAATAATTTCTCTTCTTGTGTGAAATGGACTTTTGTGTGTCCTAAGTTCACCCCAAAATTTCTAGGATGAGGCCTTAGGGTTGGTTCTTACAGTTCCCAAGATGTGCATTCCTGGTGGTACCCTCTCTTAGTCTTCTGCATGCTTATGCGGAGAGAGGCTGCAGAACTAAGCAGCATCCTGGAGGGACTGACAGTGACCCAACGAAAGGATTCTCTCTGCCACCTTTGCTGGAGTTGAGCGAACCTTGCTATTTTATTTTAGCAAGGATACCCAATATCCTGTTCTCTCCCCACCCCCAGCACCTTATTCCTCTGAAAAGCTGTGAGAGAAATTATTTCTAATTGTAGGTATAGTCAGAATGCACATTCTCTGGTATAGTATCTTGCACAGTAATGTGAAAGCATTAACTTCTGGTTTTCATTTTCCTTATCTGTAAATTGGGGATCATAGTACTTGTTCTCTTTTCTTCAGAGGGCTTACTGTGGAGAAACAATAAAACTAACATGAAAGTACTTTTAAAATTAGAAAGAGTTTTGCAAATGCAATATATGCTGATGATATTGATGATACGCTCTCTCCTTTAGCCCCTTTGCTTTCATTTGTGTGTAAGAATGTGGGCTAGTGTGTATTCCCAATGCTGTTACAGATGGAGGGTGCATCTGATAATAACCAGCTAGCCTGCCATAAGTCTATGGCTTCTCTCCAAGGCAATTGCCACAAAATGTTAATGATCCTGCTTACCAGAAACAGTCCTCAGACTCGGAACCATTCTTGAAAACATATGCAGTGCTCCAGGAAAAAGTTTTGAATGGTAAATTATTGGCCTTCCAAAAATTAACCAAGAAATACATCAACTTCCTAGCTGGAGACATCAGCCTGATTAAAGTTTCTTTGTAGTCACATGACAATCCAAAACTTCCAGCTGAGATCATTGGATAGTTCAAATCTGTGTCAAGGCTATGCCAAGAGGTGAGAAAGAAACCAATATCGGGATTAATTTAAGCAGCACCAATAAGATCCCTCTTTACCCTGCTTCAGCATGTGAGTATAAAAGGTAGGAATGAAATAGTGTCATTCAAGCAGGTTTCTGACCTTATAGGTATCCCTTAAAACATTTATCAAGCATAAGCTGTGTTTTAAGCACATTCTAGGTGTTTTCACGTATACGTGGTTTGGTTACTTTGATTTTATTCTAAAATGAGTTGTCATTTGGGTTGTTATCACATCTAAGCTGGGACACATGGACTTTGGGGAGTAGGGCTAAGAAAATAGAGGATGGACCACTGTAACTACCACAGTTGTTGTAAAGCCCAAAAGATCCCCTCTACACCTTCCCCGCCATGCATTGCCTTGTTTCCGGCTCTTCTATAAACTCTCTTTGAGACAGACATCAGCTGATGATTTTAGAATTTTCCTTCCCCTGCTCAGTACATGAAGCTTCTTGTGGTTCCTTAAACCTATCAAGCGTTATTCTCCATCAGGGCCTTGATGAATGTAAATAATTTTTTTATCAGCTTCTTCCTCACAAGTACTACCTCCTTATTTATTTTGACAAATCTACCACCACAGACCTATCACTATTACGTATGTTTCGTATATTTTAGGAGATCTGTAGTTGCATGCAACTCCATTATATTGTTATATAGATAACAAATTAAAGTACTTTGCACAGTGCCCTTATCAACTTAGGAAAAAAAGCTTCCAATATATTCTAGAATAAAAATATTTCTTTGGCTTTGGGAAAATTGTCCTCCTCCCTCTCATTCATTTCACTCAGTGTAATTCTCATCACCACAAAACACTTTGTTCTGCCAGATCACACCTTCCTCCATCAAAATCCCTCCCACGTGCCTTTCTTTCACTGTTCAGTCTTCCCCTGAATCAAAGATCACCCTTCGTCTGCACAGAGAAAACTATGCTGAAGGATCCCTTGCAATGGATTTGGAGAGTAAACATTAGACTTCTGAAATTTCTGTTGGAAAGTCTACATCCAGCACCTCCCACCCAGACGTACAACAGACTCAGACGTTCAGGCTACTGTGTATCATAGACACACCATGGAAGCACTTTGTGAGCTCATCTTCCATACCAAAATGCAGACAAATATGGAATCTTACTTTCCCTCAGGAAAACTTTCCTTGATACCCAAGGCCAGGTTATTATTTGGGTGAGTCTCTGTTTAGTATCTGTCACCTGTAGAATGCAAGCTCCGTGAAGGCAGGGACAAAGCCTGGCTTGCTCTCCTCAGTATCTCCAGTTTGTCTGGTTCATATGTAGGCGCTCAGTATGTATTTGATGAAGGAAGAAAAGCAACACCCTCTTCCAGCTTCAGTGCTCCATTGAAAAGTTTCACAGATGTCCTGCTTGTCTCAAGCTGCCCATGTTCACAGTCAAATTTATCTTTTATTTTTATTTCTCAAAACTTCTCTCTATTCCGTTTCCCATTTCTTTTAGTGATTTGAGATCTCAAAGCCTTCTTGACTACTTTCTAATCCTCATCCCACTATCCAATCAGTTATCAAATGCTATGGATTCTACCTTTAAACATCTTCAAAAGCTGTCCTCCTTTGCCAGGTCAACTGCTTTCATGCTACTTCAGGCCTCCTCTCTGCTCTGCTGAATTTCCTGTCATCAGTCTCCCCTTGTGTGCTCCAGTCCTTCCTACACTCTCTTGTCCATTATTCTTCTGAAAGTTGAGCTGCATTGTATGGCACTTCCCTGCTCAATTAGAGTGGTTTCTGATGCAAATCTAATTAAACACATTTCCCTTACCTGGAACTCATGACCTCCCAAATATGACCCTACTTAATTTTTCCAGTTTTGTTTCTATTATTCCCCTATACCTCTCTAGTACTCCAGACTCACAAATTTTCTACACTTCCCTGCTTCTTTGCTTTTGCACATAATTCTTCCTGTGCCTGGCTAGGAGGCTTATTGCCTCATCTCTGCCCATTAAGATTTTACCCATTCTTCAACACTCAATGCATATATCATCTTCACAAAGTCTTCTTGAAACTTAACTCTCCCAACCAGAGGTGATTGTTTCCTCTATGCATCCCACAGCATCTTGTCTGTACTTCTCTGATGGAACCCGTCCCACTCTGCCTTGTCTTGGTCACCAGTGTCCTTGCTACCTTCTCTATTTTGTAGGACAGGGACTGTGTTTTACTTAATTCTCTCTACTTTGACAAAACCAAAATGCTTCTTTGCACATGGAAGGTCCTCACAAATGGCGATCAATTTTCCTAATCCTCCTTTCCCCTGGGCACCCTCTACAGCAATATCAACAAGTGGTCAGATAAAATGACAATTGGGAATGAGTGCAAGGAAGAGTAAGATTCCATATTTGTCTGCATTTTGGTATGGAAGATGAGCTCACAAAGTGCTTCCATGGTGTGTCTATAATACGCAGTAGCCTGAACATCTGAGTCTGTTGTACATCTGAGTGGGAGGTGCTGGACGTAGACTTTGCAACAGAAATTTCGGAGTCTAATCTTTACTCTCCAAAATCTATTGCAAAGGATCCTTCAGCATAGTTTTCTCTGTGCAGATGAAGGGTGATCTTTGATTCAGGGGAAGATTGAACAGTGAAAGAAAGGTACGTGGGAGGGATTTTGATTGGGCAAGGTGTGATCTGAGAGAGCAAAGTGTTTTGTGGTGATGAGAATTACACTGAGTGAAATGAATGGAAGGGATGAGGACAACTTTCCCAAAGCCAGAGAGATATTTTCACTCTGGAATATATTGGAAGCTTTATTTACCAAGCTGATAAGGGTACTGTGCAAAGTACTTTAATATGTTATTTATATAATCCTCAATAATGCTATGCAATAGGTGCCTTGTTCCTTTCCCTGTTCTTTGAGCTCCAGGGATAGAACCGAGTCCTGATAAGGCCCGAGGGGCTGCTCTTCCCTTTGTGTTTCTATACACTGTGCCCAGACCTGTGTGAAGATCTCCTTTATTAAACCTTTCAAATTATCCAAGTTCACTGTCTTCGCTGTTTCCTATCAGGACTCTGACTGTTTACCTGTACCATGTTGCCTCCCAAGCTCTGATGTTAGTAACTGAACCTGAACAGCTACAGTCATTCACCCCACACTGAGCAAAGGTAGAGTTATCTGGATGAGGGAATGACAGTTAGAGAGAGGCAGCAAAATACAAGGCCTCACTCCCCTGACTGTGTTGCCCCGACCAGATGCTGTTTGATAAATCGTTTAAACAGTGACATCATGTCCTGACTTCAAATCACAGTGGCATTAAGATAACAAGAAACCAAACTACTTACTACATCTGGAAGGTGGAATATGTACATGAGGGCCCCATGAGGGCACAGCCCATTCGTTTTTCCCTCTGTAGGAGAAAAAAACCCAAAACTAGTCTTATTTAATCCCTAAAAGTAAAAACATGAATCAATGAACAGGAGAGAAGTGGCAAAGGAAGGCTCCCAGAAGGTTAGAAAATGGGCCTCTTGAGACATTAGCATGTAGAGCAGAAAGGAGCAGCATATGGTGCCTTGGGCTGGGCAAGGGCCAGCTAAGGGGTAAAAAGGACTGAGCAAGAGGAAACGCTGCAGGAGGCGGGGAAATGTACTCCACTGAAGGCGAGCTGACTGACCCTGGACCTCCTCTTTCCCAAGAGGAGGATGTTGAGTTGGGGAGGAAGGACTGGCTGACTGTAACATTAGCAATATCTGTAGGCCAGATTGTGGGGAGACTAGATTTGGAGGTGTTTGGAGGGAGAGGGCAAGTTTCAGAGGGAACAAAATGCAGTGTGAGCTGTTTTGTGATTATAGGTCTTGTTTTCTACTATTTCTCAAGAGGAATGTACTTAGGAACATCCCATCCCTGGTTTTAGAGAACCAGGTTATATCTCCGTCTCTAGAGGTAGAAGGAAGAAGCACACACTCCTAGAAGGGTAAAGTGGAGTTTGTTAAACTCCTCTTGCTCACTCCTCACCCTTGCAAGATTGAGAATGACCGCTGCAATTAGCCGCTCTTCCTGACATGAGTGTGGCCTTTGTGGTTGGCGTGATGTTACTGATTAAAGCTTTGGAGCCATGACTCTATGGCTCTACCAGTGCTCTGCTTCCCAGAGAGCCTTTTCTTAGGTTTCTGTAGTCTCGCACACCTACTTGCCTCTAGAGAGCTTGAAATGCTCTTTAGCTCCATAAAGCCCTGGCTGGGTTTGGGAGTAGAGAGGAGAGACTAGGCAAGAATCTGTCTCTTCCCATTTCTACCCTTTGACATTATAGTTACTACTTTAAAGTTAGGTTTCAGATTCAGCCTTTAAGCAATTAACCTGTGACCACATAGATGGTAATGACTTGAAACAGAGATCTCTGGTTTGGGGCTTTGGAATATATTTTTTAAGCAGACACCTCATGTATTTCTTGAGGGACATAAAGGCAAACCAATTAATACCAACATTTAAATTTTAGAAAAGTTTTAAAAATTATTTAAAACAAAATAATCCCCCTTCATGCAACTGAAAATGTACAGGAAGGACACAGCTAAAGTTTTCTCTGCTTTCCTGGATTCCTGGAGGGCCTTGTCGTTTGGGATACACATGAGTATCAAGGCAGGGTACCCTGTCTCCAAAGCATTCAGCTGCGTGGCTGAGATGACGTGAGAGATGCTCATGGACAGTGTCTAAGTTTCACCCTGGGATCTTCCTGTGCCAAGAGGGTGTGAGCTGTACCTATAAAGGCAGATACTTACTGAAATTATCCTGAGCAGGTCAAGGCCTTCACAGGTGCTGCTCCGACAGTCGCTTGACTTATAAATCAAACCATTCGAATAGATAAAGGTAGCATTCACAGTCACATTTATGCCTGTTATCCAGAAATGAGGGAAAAGAGAAAAGTAATGTTATTTTTTAGTAGTTTATAGAAGTCCTGGGATTTATCTTTTGCCAACTGATCCTAGAAAAAAAGAATATCTATTATATTACCAAGTTTAGGAATATTTGAGTTCTGGGTTTTTATATTAGTCCTGTCACTTCTTTCCCTTCTCTATCTCTGTCAACAGCTTTATTGAAGTATAATTTACCCACCATAAAAATCCCCCATTTTAAGTGTACAATTCAATGATTTTTGGTAAATATATGTATTTGTGCAACCATCCCACAGTCCAGTTGTAGGGCATTTTACGTTCACGACTCTCTTCATCCTCTTTTCTCAATTCTGGACTCAGCGAGTTTCCTATATGAGTCTTGGGAATGTTAGGAAAGCAAAGACATAGGCATTAAGATATTTGTTCTTTCATGTCCCCAAGGTGCTGGTTCTGTTTGTTGCCAGCGTGCACGCTGACACCTTTGTGGTCTGCCCCCAAAGCCAAAGTGAACCGTGCCCATTCTGGCTCAGGGTCTTTGGATAATGGAGAACACTCACCTTCAGACAAAGGCAAGAGCGTTGATGGTTATATCCCTGGGTACTGCTAGGCACCACATTTTGGAAGGGAAATGAAGAGACAGTAAAACCATTTGACTAAGCTCTGTCTCTTACATTTTGATCTCCTTCCAATAAAAAATATTCAGGACAAAAGTCTTATTCCTAAGCAGAGACATACATAACTTTGCCAAACCCTTAGAAAGGAAGTCTGGAAACCTCAGTTGCTAGTCTGGGAGCCTGAGATACTTTCTGTGTGTTCTTGCACAAGCCATTTTAATTTCTCTAACTTGGTTCACTCACCTCTAAAATGAGATTAAAACCAGGTTGGTCAAATGTAATACTTTTAAATATCTTTAAAAGGGTAAAGTATGTCAACAACAGAAGTTATGGTTCTGAAAATAGGGCTGGAGACCGTCTTGGAGGGCAGCAAGAGGAAGTGAAGTGGAGGCCAGGGCACAGTCCCAGGGTGAGAACAGGGTTTCAGGAAGAAGACCACACTTGTAGCCAACAATGTACAAACTAGCTCCTTTCCCTCGACCTCCTGTGCCTATGAGGGCTGTGCTTCCCCTACCACCATGAGGGACACTGAAGATGATCCACATAAAAATCCTAGGGTCCATGCAGCCCATGAAGGGCACAGGAAAACCCAAGTGTAAATCCTGCACAGGGCTGGGAGAAGGGGAACCAGCATCTATTGAGTGTGATCTTAGACAAGTGGCTTCACCTCTGGGGTCTCAGTTCCTTGGCCATTTATTGATAGGATCAAACTGGGTGATCTCTGTGCTTATATGCCTGGCACTGGGCTATGGATTTTTGCATTCATTATTTCACTTCATCTTCCCTTGAACCTATGAAGTTAATTAATATTTTACCTTCCTAATTTAAAAAGGAGAAAATGGAGGTCTAGAGAGGTAGATTAACTTGCTTAGGGTTCCACGGTTGGCAAGAAGTGGAGCTGGGTTTTGAACCTAGGGTAGTCTGATTCTAGAATCTGATATGCTATAGAACAGCAATTCTTGAAGTGTGGGCTATAGACTCCTGAGGTACCTTGAGACCTCAGGAGGTCCAGGAGGTCAAAACTATTCTCAATATTATATTAAGAAATTCTTTGCTTTTTCCACTATCTTTCTCTCACAAGCATATAGTGGAGTTTTTCAGAGGCTACGTAATATATATTACTGCAATAGATTAAATGCAGAAGCAGATATGAAAATCTAGCCATTTTCTATAATGTCTGACATTAAAGATTTGCAAAAATGTAAATCAATACCACTTTTCTCATCTACTGTTATTTTTGGTTTGAGAAATATAGATTTTCTTTAATAAGAGCCTTTATTTGTCAACAGATAAAGTGTTTATAATTATTATTTTAAATGAATCAATAAGCAAATATTTAAAACATTTCTCAGTGTTAATTTCCAAAACAGTAAATGTTGATAAATGTAACTTCATAAACAAAACTCTTCAGAGCCCACAATTGTTTTTAAGAGTGCAAAGAGGTCTTGAGATCAAAAGTTGGAGAGCCACGTCTGTAGAACATACTGTTACAGGCTGCTGCTTCTCAACATTTTATGGTTATGTGAACAGTTTTTGATTTTGTTTTTTAATTTGGTGGGGGGATATCCCTTCCCTTTTGTCTCTCCAAATCCCAAGTGATTTCTCAAGAAAATACTGAAAACTTTTCAGACAATGGAATGACTTCCAATCAAAGCTTAACTTTTAAAATAAGCAGCTCCCCCAAGTCGTGTTTCTCATGCCTGTCCCGCCTGTGCTCCCCGCCCCACCCTGATAGCTCAGTCTTGGAAGGATGAGCGGAATGCTACAGAATATAGAATGATCTCAGAGCCCTCTCTCTCTTATCTAAGGCTTTGAGGATGGAATTGGGCCAAAGTGAATCTGGATATAGGTGCTGGAGTCTAGGAAAGGAACCCACTCAGCACACGAGAGCATGGGGATGATATGGACCGGGTGCACTTAGCCGTGGAACATATATCTTTGAGGAGCTGATGTTGTAAGAATGAATGAATCTCTTTTCCTCATGTTTTCCACCAAATCTTATCTATTCTTCAAAACCCAAAAATGCTTCCTAGGTAGTAGGAAAAAATATTGATCTCCTCCATCTGCACATCACCCACAACATTTGACCTCTTAATTTTCTTCAATTTAGCACTTAAGTATATTGTCTTAGATCTTTTCCCAAATAATAATGCTCAATATGTTCAGAGTATGAACTTATCTTTCCCTCACAACCTGCACTTCTTGAGTTTATTGTACATGAGCATCCATCCAACAAAATGCATCCCCAAATGCAAAAATTTGGGCGTCATCGTTTATTCTTTCATCCCTCAAAATTCTCTGCTCATTTAATCCATTCAACAACTTCACCGTTAATGACTCTATTTTACAAATGAGATGAGTGAAACTTAGAGAGAATAAACAACTCACTCAGTGTCACTCAATTTAGTAAACAATGGAGCAGAAATTCAAATTCAGGTTATATGAATTCAGAGATCAAAATCTTACCAATACACTACACTGCTTATTTTATACACCTGATAACTTGTTCTCCTAACAGCAGCGACAGCACAGCAACAACCACAACATTAACATCCTTAACAAGGCAAACAGTGACAACAATAAAAACAACTGCCATTTATTGAGTTCTTACTATGTTTCAGTCAGTATATTAGGTACTTTCTATGTATTTCCTCATTTAATTCACATCATATCCACATGAAGTAATTATTATCTACTGTGATGTTATAGGTGAGGGAACTGAAGCTCAGAAAACTTAAGTAACTTGCTGGAGGTCACTGCTCATTATAATGGTTGGATAAAAGGCTGGAATATGAACCAAGATCTGTCTGATTCCAAATCTCTGCTTCTACCACAATGTTCCATTGCCTTATTTTAATGAAAAAGCGGATTCATGGTGGGCAAAGATCTTAGAATGGCAATATGATACACTCTTTGGAATCAGATAGATAGGAGTTTGAATCTCATTTCAAGCAGACAATCTTTATGACTTCAGGAAAGTTATTAAACCTCCACTGTGAAACAGTGTCAACAATGCCAATCTTACAGAGCTGTAGTGATTAAAGAGATTATATATCTTACTTAGCACATAACAGGTACTCAATAAACAAGGAAACCAAGGCTCAGAGACACTGTGGGAAATAGCTCACTCAGGGTCACAAAGAGAGAAAGTTCTAGGGCAGGGACTCCAATCCAGGTCCCCAGACTTTAAATCAAATATTCTTTCCACTATAGCACACTGCCTCGGTAAATAATGGGGTTTTATTAAATGACCTCCTGGTTCCACTGCAGCTCTAGATCAGATCCACCTATTTACATCTGAATCCAGTCTCAGATTAAAGAAATGTGCATTGCACAGAAGAAAGTAACTACACATATGTGATGTATCATACCTGATGCTATTATTACCACAGAATTTTAAACAGAGGAAATTAAGATATATGCTCCTTAGAACCATAAGGAACCATCAAGAGGTGTAAAATAGTCATTGCCTCAGTAATTCTACTTCTGGCAATCTAGTCTCAAAGAATGAACAAAAAAACTATATGCATGAAGCTGTTTTTTGTAGTATTTTTAAAAAGATCATGAGAAATTTAAAACAAGGGAGCATCCTACAATAGGGAATTATTAGATGATTTGGGAGGATACCTACTTCAAGGAGTATTATATATCTATTCACACTATGCTATGAAGATTATGTGGCTATAGGAAAGTCACTTGTAGAATAATGTGAAGTGAAATCCAAAGAATAGAAAATTGTTTCTATGCCACAGTGATCCCAACCATGTTCTTAAAAACAGGAAACTGAGAAGCATGTGAAAAGACACTGAAAACATCCAGGTGGCTGGAAATTCACAGCAGTGATTTTTTTTCCTTATTCTGCATATTTTATCTAATGCTATAAAATTTTATTTTAATAATTAAAAGATACAATGAACAACTGTAACACTGAATTTGATTGCAAATTTTTTATATTGACTGTGTCTCAATAATAATAGCCACCAGAGATGTGAGGAATGAACAGATGGATTAAAAATCTCCAAGAAAGATTCAGGGTCTGGATGAATTTTACTCTCTTAATTCGAGCTTCTTGACTGATAAGCCTGTAAAAATCTCAGGTCCAGACCAAATCTTGCCTCTGAGCAGCTGCAGAAGGAAACATGGTACCTCCCAGAAACTGAGCAAGAAATCCAGTTTTATCTGGGGCATTTCACTGCCATGAACACCTGGGATTCCCTGGATCGGGGCACATTATGAGTGAACTCACTGCTATAGGGCTCAAATCCTTCTCTCTTAGGATCTACTGCCTTGAAATAGAAAGAGGTTGTGGGACAGACCCATAGAGAAGGTTGGGTGATCAGGCAAAGACTACAAGGTCTTTGCTTAGCAACACTTTGACCCCAAAGGTGGTAACAGGGAGGAGGAGGATTCTGTTACTATATTCTTACCAGCTTCATGCAGGCGCCATCTCACTATATTTATCCCCTCATTCACTGCTTCTTTCAAGTTATCCAGGGACTCTTGGAAGGCCGAGTTGTTCATCATCAGGACACTGATCTCGTAGTAGCCATCGTTGCAGTTCTGACTCACCTGGGAGATGATGCCTCGATAGAAGAGCAGTGACCACAAAGCCAGGCCCAACAGTGGTGTCTTCATGACCTTGCTTACCTCAGAACCATACTCCTTGTGCTCGCTTGCTTTATGCTGGGCTTTTAGGGAGGCAGGAACTCCAGCTGGACAGCCTCTAGCTGAGTCGCTTGGTCCACTCTTCCCCACGCTCCTTTCTGGTCATGCCTCACTGGTCACGTGGACCATAGAATACAGCCTGCCTGCCAGCAATTAACAGCTACATTATGGTAGGAGATAAACCAAAGTTCACTTTGTGTGTTTGCTCACGGAAAGGTAGGAGTTATAAACATGGAGATTACCTGGGCCTCACCCAATACAAATACATCAATTTGTGACACATTACTGGAAAGAGGGAAAAGAGGAAGAGGGCAGCATAGCATATACATAAAAGGCTTTGTAAACTGGAAAATAAAGGTCAAAGGGCTTTAGAAAAGCACAGATACAATGGACTGTTAAGTGTTTATGTTATAGCTGCACATTGAAACCAAACCCTTATCTAGGAGGAGCTGTGTTTCAATCACCCAATCAGCAAGTATTTATTGAGACTTGACTATGTGTTGGGCATTGGCAAGGCACTGGACATAAAGCCAAGAATGATATAGATACAGTAATGTCCTCATGGAACATGCATTCTAGTGGGGAAGACAAACATTAAACAATAAATTATGACAACTAAACTCAACAATGAAAAGAAATGCAGAGTGCCGTGGAAGCACATGGCAGATTAACCTATTCTAGAAAGTTAAAGAAGCGTCACTGAGAAAGCGCCCTTTAAGATGAACCCAAAAGGATGAACAGGAGATAGGTGAATGGAAAGAGGGAGGGCATGTGAGGCAGGGAGACAGCTTGTGCAAAGGCCCAGAGGTGGGAAGTGGCATGGATGTTTGAGGAACTGAAAGAGATGCAGCATGGTTGGCATGGAGAGAGCTAGAAGTCAAGTGGCAATAAAAGATGTCAGAGGAGTATGCAAGGGCAGACCATGGGGTTTCCTAAGCCATTAAGGACTTGGAACTTTACTCTAACAGTCAAGAAAGGAACAGGATCAGAGAATTTTTTAAAGATCATTTAGGCTGCCATGGAAGGAATGACCTGAAGAGAGGCAGGAATGGGGACATGGAGCAAATTAGGAAGTTGTTCTGTGGTCCAAGTGAGAGGCAAAGGAGGCCTAGATGAAGGTAGTGGCAGTGGAGATGGGTTCAAGAGATATCTAAAAGGTGAAATGTACAAGACATTATATTTTATTGGATTTAGGGAATTAGAGAGGGGGGGAGTCATGGGTGACCCCTGATGTGCTCAGCTTGGAGGAAAGGAAAGCTGTTTATTAAGCTCTGGAATTCTGGTAGAGGAGCAGGTTTGAAGGAGAAGACAACAACTTCTGTTTTGGGACACACTGATTTTAAGGAGACTGTGCAGGTGTGAGAACAGTGTCCAAATAGTTTTTGGAAAAGAACCTGGATTTAGATGAGGGTTTGGAAATAGAGTAAGAGGCATAGTATGATTGATCAAATAATGTCATTTTTTACATCATTGACTTGATGGCCACTTACGGCAAAATTTATGTTTAAAGTTAAAGTGAGAGATATTAATAAAATGGAAGACTAGGAGGTCCCAGCCCTTACCCCTCCACAAAAACAACAAGTTAACAATCACCCACTGATAAAAATATCTCTGCTTTAGAGTATAATGAAGAATCTGCAACAACTCAGTGGAGCAAAAAAACTAAGATGACCACATAGAAAACCATAGGAAGAATTTTTTGTGTGTCACTCCATCCCCCATTCTAGCACAGCTCCACACCAAGAGGGATCTGCTTAACAATGACCTCCGTTTGTGGGGCAAAGGAGAGCAGGAGGACACCAGGGGCCCTCACCACTGCTACAGACACCTGCAGCTTTTGCCACCAAGGATCTCTACAGTCTTTGCCAAAGTTGAGTCTAGCTGACAGAGCTGCCTGGAGTCCATGCTGCTTTGCTTCCTTGGAGAAGGAGCTGCTGCCCTACTTCCCTTGGGGCTTGAGTCACTGCGTCTTCTGTCTCAGTGTTACTATGCCTACTCCCCAGATCCCAACACCAAGAGTAATCTACTTGGTCAAGGCTTCCCCTTTGGGGTAAAAAGAAAGCAGGAAGAGCCCAGCAGCCTTTGCCATTGAGGACTACAGCAGCTCTTGCTGCTGCCATAGACACCTGTAGTCTTGGTGCTAAGGATGCCTGTAGTCTTTGCCAATGCTGACTCAGCTGACAGAGCTGCCTGAAGTACATATCACTGTGCTCCTCCAGAGCCAAAGTCCCTGCATCCCTCCCAGCCAGCACCCTTGCATCCACTTGAGGGGAAGGTTTTCCCACTAAAGTCAATCCATAAAGTCTGGAAGAGGTGACTGCTCCTTCAAATGTGCAGACATCAATGCAAGGTATGAGGAACACGAAAAATCAAGGAAACATGACATCACTAAAGGAGCACACTAAATTTCCAGTGACTGATCCCAAAGAAAGAGAGATCTATAAACTGCCTTCAAAAATTCAAAATAATTGTTTTAAAGAAGCTCAGCAAGTTACAAGAGAACATAGACAACTCAATGACATTAGAAAAACAAGACATGAACAAAAAGAGAAGTTCGACAAACAGATAGAAATAAGAAAAAGAACCAAATAAAAATAGTGGACCTAGGAATACAATGAATAAAATGAAAAATGAAACAGAGAGCTTCAACAGCAGACTTGCTCAAACAGAGAATCTGTGAACTTGAAGATAGGTCATTTGAAATTATCCAAAGGAGAAAAAGAAAATAGGATGAAAAAGAGTGAAGCAAGCCTACAGAATTTGTAGGGTACCATCAAGGAACTGATATATGCATTATGGGAATCCCAGAAGAGAAGAGAGAGAGAGAGGAGCAGAAAGCTTATTTAGAGAAATAATGGCTGAAAACTTTCCAAATCTTGGGAAGGAAATGGACATCTAGATTCATGAAGCTCAAAAGTTTCTCAACAGGATCTACCCAAAGAAGACTACACTGAGACAAATTATAATCAAATTGTCAAAAGTCAAGGAGAAAGAGAGAATTTTGAAAGCAGTAGGAGAAAAATGATTAGTCACATGTAAGGGACCCGTATAAGACTGTCAGCAGATTTCTCACCACAAATCTTGCAGGCTAGGAGACAGTGAAATGATACAGTCAAAGCACTGGAAGAAAAAACTCTGCCAACCAAGAATACTATACTTGGAAAATTATCCTTTAAAAATAAAAGAGAGAAAAAAGTCTTTCCCAGACAAACAAAAACTAAGATAACTCATCATTAGACCTCCCTTCCACAAATGCTTAAGGGAATTCTTCAAACTGAAATGAAAACATGCTAAACAGTAATACAAAAGTATATGAAAGCATGAATCTCACCAGTAAAGATAACTATATAGACAAATACAAAATAAAGTAACACTGCAATGGTGGTGTATAAGTTACATTTAACCCTAATTACAAGTTAAAAGATAAAAATGTGTTAATGGGTACACAATATAAAAAGAAGCACTCTATGAGAACAAAAAGTGTGAGATTAGGGGAGTAAAAGTATAAAATGTTTGTATACAGTTGAAGTTAAGTTGTTATCAACTTAAAATAAATGGGTATAACTAAAAGATATTTTATGCAAGCCTTGAGCTAACCACAAAGAAAAAACTATAACAGATACAAAAAATAAATAAATAAGCCAAAAAAATCACTATAAAAAAGTCATCAAGCAGCAAAGGAAGGCAGCAAAAGAAGAAGAGAGAGACAAAGCAAGAGCAAAATACACAGAAACAATTACCAAAATGGTAATAGTAAATGTTTATATAATAGTTACTTTAAATGTAAATGGATTAAACTCACCAATCAAAGGAATAGAGTGGCTGAATGGATCAAAAAACCCCACAAGGTCTAGTGATATGTTGTCTACAAGAGATTAACTTTACATTTAAAGATACACATAAGCTGAAAGTGGAAGGATAAAAAAAGTTATTCCATGAAAATGGTAACCAAAAGAAAGCAAAGGTGGCTATGCTTATATCAAACAAATAGACTTTAAGTCAAAAATGGTCACAAGAGACAAAGAAAGACATTATATAATAATAAAAGTAGTCAACTCAACAGAAAAATATAAAAATTATAAACATATATGCACCCAACATGAGAGTACCTAAATATATAAAGCAAATACCAAAAAATCTGAAGGAAGAAATTGACAACAATGCATAATAGTAGGGGACTTCAATACTCCACTTACAATAATAGACAGAACATCCAGACAGAAAATCAATAAAGAAACACTTGATTTGAACAACACTATAGACCAAATGGACCTAACAGACGTATATAGAACTTTTCATCCAACAGCAGAAGAACACTTATTTTTCTCAAGTACAAAAAGTCCATTCTCCAGGACATATCACAAGTTATGTCACAAAACAAGCCTTAATTTTAAGGAGATCAAAATCATCCCAAATGTCTTTTCCAACCACAATGAAATAAAACTAGAAATCAGTAACAGCAAGAAAACTGAAAAATTCACAAACATGTGGAAACTAAAAAACACACTCTTGAACAACCAGGGGACCAAAGTGGACATCAAAAGAGAATTTAAAAAGTATCTTGAGACAAACAAAAATGGAAACAAAAGATACCAAAACTTATGGGATGGAGCAAAAGCAGTACCAAGAGAGTTTATAGTGATAAACATCTACATTAAAAAAGAAGAAAGATCTCAAATAAACAATGTAACTTTGTACCTCAAGAAACAAGAAAGAGAAGAAAAACTAAACCAAAATTTAGCAAATGGCAGGAAATACTAAAGATTAAAGCAGAAATAAGTCAAATAGGGGATAGAAAGACAATAGAAATAAGTCAAATAGGCAATAGAAAATACCAACAAAACTAAGAATTGGTTTTTTGAAAAGATAAACAAAATTGACAAACCCCTAGCTAGTCTAACTGAGAAAAAAAAGAGAAGACACAAATAAATAAAATCAGAAATGAAAGAGTAGACATTACAATGGATGTCTCAAAAATAGAAAGAATCATAAGAGATATTATAAAAAAAATTATACACTAAAAAACTGGATAACCTAGAAGAATTGGATAAATTTCTAGAAACAAACAATCTACCAAAACTGAATGAAGAAAAATTAGAAAGCCTGAACAGACCAATAACAAACAAAGAGATTGAATCAGTAC